TCTCTCTCTCGATTGATCACATTTTATAAATGTAATGCCTTCCCTAGGCCTAGTAAATATTATTACGTTTATAAAGTAGCAAACATACTGATCAATATGTTGATGCAATGATACATAGGAAAAATACAAAAAAATTATTGGATTTTTCTAATATTTCTAAATATTCTAGATATCTTTTTTAATTTACAAATTCTAAAATTTATTAAAACTTTTAAATCTTTAAATTATAATTAAATTAAGCGAAATTTTGATTCTTATATACATAAATACTTGGATTGCTTTTCGTTGTTACTGATATTTTTTATCTAATTTTTTTCTAGATTTTTATATTTTTTTACATTTCAGATATAAATATAAAATTACAAAACTCGAGTTATTTTTGCACGTTTTTGAATCTTTCGCGTCGAATAATTATTGGTCCAATTTTTATCTGCAAGAAATGTCCTGTGTTTTGATTGACTTTAATTCAAAGAGATCATAAGAATTATTTAAGTCATAGAATTATTAAGTTCTAGAATTAATCAATTCAATATTTTAATAAATTTTCACGAGTTTTATATATAAAAATAAAACATACTTTCCTTTAAATTGCATGTAACAAATTTCTATATATATTATTTCTTTTTACTCTTTCAGTTTTTTATAAACACAATATACACATTTTGTGAACAATAAAGCAAACTGTTCACACTTTCAAATCACAATAATTCTCCTAAACTTGAAAGTCCTTCACAAAATTATTCACACTGGAAGACACACCAATGATATCAATCGATTGTTGTCCCAGGAATTTTTTAAATACTAACAAGAATTAATATATCTTTCAAGAATAACGATGTTAAATACTAACAATAATTGCTGGGATAGAATAGAATTCGCGAGAAACGGCTGACATCCAACTAGACTGGCATGCTACTATGACGTTTCAGGCAACGTCAGTCCTCCTTCGCATGCTTTCAGTTATTGATCGCGCCTATATCGTGTCAGTTGCTCTCCTCTATTTCTCTCTCTCTCTCTCTCTCTCTCTCTCTCTCTCTCTCTCTCTTTGTTCTACTATATTTTGCGCTCATAGCACTCCAAATTGTGATTTATCCTACCATATTGTAAAGTGTGATTCAATATAAAATTTTTAATTTCAATACAATTCGTAGCAAGTATATTAAAAATTGAATGTTCAGAAATGAATTCAAAACACTTAAAATCTATTTTTAATAACATACATTTTTACACCAATGATGCACATGCGCATACTCGCGCATGCTCATGTGATATACAGAATGTGTATGTATATATATATATATATATAT